ACTTTGTCACCAAAGCATTGGGAGTGACACGCTGATTCCCTTCCATTTACACTGCTTAGCTGACAACTTAAAGACGCTTAGCATGGTCCTCTGTGATTCCTCCTGTCCCTTATCCTGTTATCAGCTTTATTGTGGGAAACTTCAATCTTCCTGAATGATGATTTACAATCATGAAGCTATCCCAGAGAGAGGCAGCATTCCTCCTGTTAAGTCTGTTTCATTTTTTACTTAGATGAATGAAACATCCCTCTTATCTCTGCATTCTTTTTGTATTTGTCAGCAAGGGTCATCAACATTTGCACTAATCACAATGTCCCAGCTATTCTACTTCCACAAAGTTATTTTTAATTGTGCTGCCTAAACTTGGAATGAGCTGTATTTAAGTTTGGGACAACGTGTAAAAGATACCTGTAACAATGATGCACTTACTGTATTTTTTTGTATGTTACAGATAGGACTCATCCTATGCACAGAGAAAACGTTGCCATTTATAGTTTAATACTTGAAGTAACTTTTTGAAACGGGCTTTTATAAATTAATAAATACAAAATCACATTGCTTTGCCTGGAAGTTCCTTCATGTTTTAATTGTATTTGCAATTTCCCCATATGTATACTTTTCCATAAAGTTCTCTTAAGCCATTTATAACCAATGGAAGTGCATTCAAGATTTTGTACATCAGTGTTCAGACCTGTTCATACTTCTCTGAAGTATAATTCATGTTTAATAAAAAAGTACCATTTTAAGCCTCTTTTCCAAAGTGATATGAATGGACTTGGCACTTGAATTCATCAGTGAATGCAACATCAACTTAATAAAAGTATGTGAAAGAATCTGAAAATTGCTCAGCTGTAGCATCTGTGTTATTAGATCACCAAGAAGAACTGCCTACCGGGGAAACACTGCACCATTGCTCTGGTTTTTACACTCCAGCTGCAACAAACCTAAGATTACACTCACTCCTGACAGATCTTCCAGGTCACTGGGTCTTGTGGGGAAATAAAAACCTGACTTGTGGCTAAATCTTACTCCTCCACGACACTAAGCCTGACTTAGAAGTCAACTGCTCAAACAGGAATCAGCCACGTTCATTTTAGATCAGGATCAATCTGTGTAAGAGAGCTGTAACACCCAAGCTGACACTGACATGACAATGACACTGGCAGTTAAGTTCAGCAATTCTTTCCAGAAAGTTTTTTTAAAAATGGAACATTTTATAACATTCCATGAATTCCAGCCTCAACCCTCTGTCTCTGCAGTTCTAGTTCCCCTTGGTCCTTGCATACCTGATGGCAAGTGTCACAGTCGTGTCTCAAGTACCTGGTGGACACAGAACAATCCCTGAGGAAGGGAGAGTGACCAGCCCAAGCCACGTGGCTGGTACCAGCAGCACCCTCTCAACACAGCAGGAGTGTTCTCCAGGCTTTCAGAAGGCAATCACTGAAGCTATCTAGGTTATAGAGAGCTGAAGCTAAACTAGGTTATCTGTAAATCACCACCACTGCACCTGGTAACTTGCTGTTTAAGCCCTGAAGAACAGAGGGTGAGCAGATGATAGACAGGCACACAGAGAACTTCTCTAACAAAGCAATAATAATAAAACATAGGCTGTTCCAGAGGACTACCTTTAATGTAGTATTTGTACACCACAGCAACATCTTATTTGTCACCCATGCTAATTACAGTGAAATACCATAACAGGTATGAGAGTAGATCCCAGGGTAGTGCACAACATGTGCCAAATATAAATATGCTGTGTCACTCAACATGTCCACTTCTTTGTCACATTTAAGTGATTTAAATGATCGCTGATGTATCTGTGCTCAGGAAACTTGGCTTGTTTCAGGCTTTTGAAAGCTTCCCACTTGGCACGTCTCTCTTCTGTGTTGTGTTTGTATTCCTGTTCCTGTGTCAGGTAAGGTTGGCTGAGCCAATATTCGTTCTCTGCTTCAATTTCCAACCTTCGGATCATTGCTTGCTTCATGGAAATGGTAACCTGTCTTGGTCGCCTGTACTTGCCAATCCACTGTTTTCCAGGAATTCTCTTCCGCAGCAATACTGTTGTTAAGAACATTTTGCCTTAAAACATAAACAGAAATATAAAATACTCATTACATTAGGGAGAAAAATACAACTTTGACAAGAAAGATTAAAAGCTCTGCACTCACTCCACTGCCTTTTAGCTGGCTGGTTTGAAGGTTCAGGCTCAGAGCCTGGTAACCATCACAAACAGCAGGCAGCAAAAGGCCAGATAGACTGGAAACTTCAGAAGCAGAAAAGGGGAATTAACATCTATGTAACTTAAGAATTTATTCAGTTATTTTTACACTGCAATTAAAGCATACCCTCCATACATTATTTAAGAAAAACCCAGTCACAGATACTCAAGAGTGAAAGATTCACTTTGCTCATGTCTTCTTCAAATAGCTGTCAAAACAGAGTATTTCCAGCTCTGTCTTTTCGATCCAAATCTGGCCTTTCCTCAGCATGAGGTTTTGGACTACAGTCTCTCCGTAAGCTTATTAGTACGTAATGACCTAGTCTCGTATCCTGACCGAGGGAAATCTGTATCCTGAATTAGACCAAGCGTCGTAAGCGGAAAGCACCAACAGACCCTGCCACAGCACGCTGGGTGTAAGGGGCAGGAAAAGCCGAATGACGTTCAAACTTTACACAAATGCTCTTTGTTAAGCTGTTCATAAGTCCCACACCCGCTAATGCCCACGTTTCACGCTACACGGGATTTCATCAGCTCTAGGGAATCACAGAACACGCGGAGTTGGAAGGGACCCACAAGGACGATCGAGTCCAACCGGCCCTGCCCACGACATCCCCAGGACCCACACCATGAGCTGTCCAAACCCTCCATGAACCCTGTCAGCCGTGACCAAGTCAGTCACCCACGCACCTCTAGCACGGCACAAACCAGCGCTGCCGCTAACTGAAGCCAACCCACCCCGTTCCCACGGTGCAGCTCCACGCCGGAGTCCCACTCTCTGGCCGGATTTGAAGCGAAGCTGCGGGGATCCGTGCGGGCAAGGCT